TGTGTTGATCAGGTGATACATGAAACCTTTGAATGCGAAGAGTGTGGACAGCACTTCGTGACAGCGGCTGCCCTTAAAAGACATCGGTACCTAATGCACCTCAGTGAAGAACAACAAACGGAGCGTCAACAAGAAGTGCAGCAGCTCAGAAAGAGTTCTCCCATGGAGCATGCTAAGGACGGCATGCCACAATGCAGACACTGTCTACATGAATTTACCACGTGGCATGCCTTCTTCTACCATGTGACCTCACGCAGTTGCGCCATCCTAAGGGCCATCTACACTCAGCCAGACTCAGATGTACACCTCGTTCCACTATTGAGTGAGGCGGTCGTTGACTCACCGGAAGTTCTGTCGCTCGCTAAAGACTGCACTTGGCAATCCCTGGCACAACTTGACATAGTCCGCAACAAACAGCACCACTGCCTGGAGTGCAACCACTGGTGTGTCAAGCCGACCTATGTGCGCAGACACATGCAGACTAAGCATCCAGACAGAATCCCGCTTATCCAGGCGTGCATTGATGATATCAAGAAAAGCAACATCAGTCTGACAAGCCCGTGCCCGTACTGCGGACTACAGTTCACCAGGCGAGATGCCCATCTACGGTCATGCATAGGAATCTTTAATGGTGTATATCTTCACCGACGTCTTGCTCGAGGTAAAGCCCTGAATCTCACAGGCCAGACGGTGTCCTCCGGACGCAAGCTTTCGGATCATGTTCGGAACCTTCCAGTCGGAGTGTCCAGTTCCGACCGAGCTGCAGGCAGCCACACAGGACCTGGACATGCTGAAGTCCCTACTGCCGACAGCCCTGAACCTCCAGCAGTTTCAGTACCACCAGTCCATGGAGATCGAGGAGCAGGAAGCCGACCAGCGACCTCAGAAGTGGCAAAAGCCGGGACCCAAGGGAGCTCCTCAAGGAGGAAAGGGCAGACGCCACAATCCACAGGGCTCACGCTACAACAACTCCTGGAGAAACAACGATTGGGGAGGTCACCGACAACAGGATCAGGAGACGTGGGCACCTCGCTCTTCCCGGGCCACAGCACAGGATGCGGACCAGCACAAGCAGATGGCAGAACTAAAAGCCATAGTCTCCATGCTCAGCACGCTGGTGCTCAGGCAGGAAGTGCAAATGAATGTGAGCCGACAAGACACCGCCTACGTCATCTTCATCCAAACCCACAACTCCGACAGTTTGGCGATGAGCCTCTTCCGCATCGGAGAACAATGGCGTCAAACCAAGATCGAGAAGCCGGAGCAATTGAATGCACCGATGAGGGTTGTTATGTTCCAACATTTCATCTCGACTGTCAGGGACAGGTTTACGCAGATGACGACCTCACCATCGGCAAAATCCAAGGCGCGGGAGTTGGGCTACATGCTGGAGAAGGACGACAGGATCCCGGGACTCCGGTGGGACCACACGGAGAAGAAGCACGTACTGGACGACAAGGCGACCACCTTGTCGACGGAGGAAGTGATGCAGGATCTCAACCAGCTCCTCGTTCTGAGCTCCAAGACCCTTGTCATCTCCCGCTTCCACGGCATGCGCAAGCTCAGCGAGGAGTACACGTCCCCGACACTTGGGATGTTCCTGGAAATCGGCATGAGGACCCAGGAGGCCCAGGAAGCGTGGTCCATCCTGCATCGCCTGAGCGGCTCGGCAACATGGATGGCTGCCAGTTGCTACCTTCGCCACGAAAGGCTGCAGATGAGTGCTTTGGCCAAACGATTGGCAACAGTCACCAAGTGACGCGCATGAAAATCGGCAATAGTGGTAACTACTGCTACTCAAATGTCATCTTTAAAGCGCTTACGTCCTTGGCCCAGGCTTCTGACAGTCTTTCTACGATTTTCATGTCGTCATACTGTGAGTTTGTGAGGGGGCTGATCAAGAGATCCTGCACCTCCACGGTGCACCTATGGCAGCATCCGCTCTGGCTTTCGCTCAACCGGGGCTGGACTAGGCCTAGTCATCAGCATGACGCTGCTGAGTATCTTCTGTTCCTGGCTGAGGGTTCGCTGCTTCAAAGGTCCAGCCTCGAAGTTGTGTGGCAGTCCAGACACCACCAGCTGCCAGCAGACGGGCGAAGAGTGGTGGATTCAGGGCAATCCGTCCCGCTGCTGCTGCCTTCTCCCAGCGAGGGAGACTGTGATCTGATTAAGGATATTACTGTTCAAAAGTTGATTCAACTTTGGCATCAGCAGCCTGAGACACATGCAATGTTGGCGCCCGCCACAGTTTTGGCGCTACAGGCATGCAGGTTCCAGTATGATGCTGATGGACATGTCACCAAACGTAGGTATGAGATTGAACCTTGTCGTGTCATTCATGTGCCTTGCTTCACTGGTGATGGCGCGGAGTGCAGACATGTCCAATATCAGCTTAATTCAGTGGTGATTCACTTGGGCGAGGCCCCGAACACAGGCCATTACCAGCTTCTGCACTATCATACTGACTGTGTCTACCTTGCGGATGATGACCGGCCGGCTCGGAAGGTTTCGGCT